ACTGTTCCCTGTCAGACATACGTACATCACGGGGGGAACGGTTTGTCTCAGACATCTGTACATCGGGGGGTGGGCGGGTGCTCTGGTGTGGTTTGCTTCCTCTTTCCTATCAAACATGTATCGTCCTTATCTCTCCTCCTTCTTTTTTGTGTCTATTACTCTCTTGTAACACCTCTAACCTTCAGCATTTCTATGACCTTATTGTGTTGCAAGTGCTGCAAAACTCTTACTAAAAAAACTACAACATAACGTTTTTGAGAGTGAAGAAATCAGCAGCAACCTCACCTGGTGAACGTCTGTCAGCTGCTCCTCAAAGTGTTTCTTGAACTGCTCCGCTTGCCGCACGTGGTAGTCGTTGGGCTGCGACAGAACCACAAACACCAGCTGGCTGGCTTCCAGTCCTCGGGAAACAAGAAACGGAAAACATTGTGTCAGCTGTTCTCACTTCAGTTGATTTAGCTACGATGCTAGGAAATATATATACATGATATAGGGATCATTTAAAGGAACAAAGTCAATAATATAGCTTTATAAAAAAACAAACTTTTCATCCACACCCTTACCTTACTCCCAAGAAAGGAGAAACAAATGGATCAGACACACATACACACACACACAGACACACACAGACACACAAACACATGCACACACAGACACACATACACAGACACACATACACATACACAAACACACACAGACACACACACAGACATAAACACACATGTGAGTGTGCATGTACACATAATGAATGATAATGCATGCACACAAACGCACCCACTACTCAACATCAGGTGCACCAGTGTGCAAGAGTATATGTGTACAATCAGCAAGGCAGGGATTGTGAGGTGAGTTGTAGAGTATATGAGTGTTTGTGTGGTGTTGTGTATATCCTGAATGTAGCAAAGATACATGTGTAGTACATGTATATATATATGGGGTGTAGCGTATATTAAGAATGCATCAAAGATGACTCAGCGGAACCATGTGCTCATCAATATTCAGGCATATGGGGTTATTGGCAGAATCTTAAAGTTCAAGCTAGTTCATTTGTCTTGCTTGTGATGAAACTACATGTAATACCCATCTATCTTTCTTGAACAGAAGTTGAGATAGTTGCGAATGAAGACAGTAAAGGTTTCCTAGTGTCAGAGGTAAAACATAAGCGAGAAAATGGTCGCCAAAGTATGGTGACTTACAAACCTCGAGTGTCCTTGCAAACTGCAAATTTACATTTCTTTTTTATGCCTTTGATCAATGTTTTTCAGCTAAATCTACACAAAAATGTGTTTTTAAATGGACATAAAAGGTGTTGAAGCCCCCCCCCCCCCCCCTTTCCTTAAAAAAAATTCTATGAAAATTGCCCACCACACAGACAAATGTTGGTTTCTTCCATTCCATTATTTTGAGGAGCACCTGATTCCACCACAACGCCACAGGCTATTTATTATGTGCACACGTGCAGGGCACACTCACTGAAACTGGGAACTTGCTCCGAGCAGAGGCAGAAGCCACAGAGGCAACCTGTGGAGACAAATGAAGAAATATTGAAGCAAATTAAATTGCTGCGAGGAACTTTAGGTCTAAGCTCTTAGAAGTTTAAGCAAATTAAATAGTTGTGGGGATCATATTAAGTCAAAGATCTTAGCAGTTTACAAATGGCACCGACATCTCCCTGATCTGTGAATGAGTCTGTTCAGATTGAAGGCTGGAGTTGATTTTTTATGTCCATTAATGTTGATTTATTAATGTGGCATGAGAGCATCCATGCAAAGAAATGAATGGAGAACCATGACTGCCAATGTCTGTCGCAGATCTGGCACTTGATGATGATAATAGGCATGACCAATTTCTGTTATCATCAGTTTGACCATCAGCATAGTAAGCAAGCCGTACAAAGGTTAGTTCTAAGAATTGATCAGCGCACAGGGGGTCAAAGCAGTCTAAGAACATGATTGAAGAATGGTTTTCCAAAACTCAGCAAGACTGTTTTATTTCATTTTCAGAACTTGAGGAAAACTTCCTGTCCAGTATCTAAGTGTCTAGCTTTTGTTAAAAGGCATCATGTTTTGTCTCTTCTTGCAGTCCACTTTCAACCCGAGTGGGTGACAAGAATCGTTGTTTTCATTATCGGTAGATCTAGTATAGAAGACAAACATAGTTTTCATAACGGTAGCGTATGATGAAGACGGACACATGGTTTTCATTATCGGTAGATCTAGTGTATGATGAAGACAAACATAGTTTTCATAACGGTAGTGTATGATGAAGACGGACACATGGTTTTCATTACAGAGATCTAGACTAGATCTAGATCTAGATCTAGATATAGATCTAGTGTTTGGCTTCAAACGCAGACACGCCGTCACTTCGGCCATCAGAACTTCCAACAACGAAAGGTAGATTAAGCTTCATATAGCCTAGGCGGTTAACACACAGCGTTCTATTTAGCAATGGCGCTAATCGCAACGCAGCGTTTTATTTAGCACTGGCGCTTTATGGCAACGCGGCATTGCAAATAGGCACTTCCTTAATTGCAACATACCATGAATAGGGGTTATTATGTTGTGGGCCCATTGCTAAAATCTGCTACAGGAGCCATACAAGTAATTACAAGGTAGGAGGAAGTGTAAGGCAGGGCTCTTGTCTTGAGAGACAGCCACTTCGGCATTGGTCTTCATTTTCATTCAACATGTCATTGGCCTTCCATTGACCATTGGTGGCATATGAGGCTAGATCTAAGCCTATTGTCGACTTGAACATTGTGCGTCGTTAGTGCAATAACAGGAAAACTACAGATCAAGATTTACATCAACAATCTTGGTCTTCCATTCTTAATGAGTAAACAAATGTCCAAAGTTACTACTGACCTAACAACAAAGCGAGAGTAGAAGTCTTCATTTGCCTCTCCATCGTCAGCAGCAGCTGGAGCAACACAATCTCCAATCTAAATAATTGAATCGTTATTTGCCTGAACCATTTGTTCCGTAGAGGTAGGAGCCTAGGCCTAGGCTAGGTTGTTCCGTGTTTTTTACGATTCTAAATAGCAACTTCCGCCATTTCATAAACCCAACGCTCGTTTGTCGTTTGCTGGATCAACCCGTTGTATTTTGTTTACGATTGTACACCTTCCACAACCTATAGAACACTTGCCTTTGTGAAATTACTTTCAAGGTAAATTATCTTTATTTTTAAAAATACAAGTAGGAATAGCAAATTTCTTTGGCCTAGCGTCCTGCAATGGTCGCTTGAAGTTTTGCGTGTAGCTTGCAGGCTCGGCTCTTTTCGTGTGTCTGTGACGAATTATCGATAGTCCATCAATTTTTTAATGGAAACAAGTAATATAAAAGTGTTTCATTTTATAGTTTCAATCTCATATAGATTCTAGATCTAGTATCTAGATAGATCTAGATCTATGTGACTAGACTGTCCTCTTGATTTATGCTTTGGCTTTCAATATTCTACACTTTGGTATTGTCAGTGTCAGTGTAGACTGTTCTTGTTGCAGAAAGTAAATGGCAGTTGCCAACTGAGTTGGGGATTGTTTTGGCTCTGCATGATGGGGCTGGGGGAAGTCCATTCTTTTACACACTCACTTACCCACTGCTACACATTCATTGGCACTTGAACTTGCTGAACTGGAAGAAAAAGTAGACTAAAGCCCCGGTTACCCGCAACGATAAATTGTATCAGACTGTCAGATTCGTCGTATGGGACAATAATGAGAGGACTGTCCGTTTTATCGAACTGTGTTGTCTGTTTACTTTTAGAAAGTGGCTATTCTCACCCGCCCGGAAGTTCTCGCAAGATCAACTCCTCCCCTCTTCTCTCTCTCTCTCTGTCTCTTTCTGAATACTGTCTATCGGTGTGGACGATCAAATTGACCAAAACAAAGTTTAAAAATGATGTTAAAACACAAAAGTAAATTAATTTGGTTGTCTACAAAGATGCTACGGCTATTTAACTTTTCGAATCGAGCCGAACTACGCAGGTCGCCATTTTGTTTTGCCCGGAAATTCACGCGCTACTCCTCTCTCTCTTTCTCTCTCTCTCCACTGCCCACAGACAAAATTGTACGCTTTTAGTAGGCTACAGTTGTAATGGAACGTTTGTTCACGACACAGAATTCTACAATTTTTCTGTTATCACAGTGTAGAATTCTGTGGTTTAGGGTGAACGCAAAATTTGGTGAACGCGCACCGGGTGAGAATAGCCACAAGACTCGCCTGCACTATTCTCACTCCGGGTGAGAATAGAGGTGGCCCTAATTTTTACACATTCCAATCCATCATTAGATCTAAGTTTTCTTCTGATTGAGGAGATTCCTTATCATAAAGCCACCATGCCTCTTTGCGGCGACAGCAATTTGCCTGCACTCTATGTGAAGGTTTCGAGCCCTGGACCTAATTCTAATGAAATGAATTATAAATAAAGGCGAACACTGTACCTCTAGATCGCGAGAGCCCCCCCCCCCTTTCCCCTGTACATTTTGTTTTAGCAGAGCAGTGTCTTTTAGAAAAGGGAGTGTATGCAGACCCGGTAGGGGAACTCTTTTGTGATTTCGGAAAGTTTCAGCGCCCTCTTGGCTCAGGGTAGACCTAGGTTCTTCTACTTCTAGATCTATGGCCTAGGTCTAGATCTAGACAGACAGTCATAAATCATTGATCTAGTTTCGAGGCTAGCCTAGATCTAAATGAAGATTGCGGATGTCTTTTCGATGAACGATCGTTTTTCCTCTGTTTTGGAGTTGGAGGAATCACAATTTAATTTTAAGAAAAGAACAATGTCATAATTTCAATCGAGCAGTCGCCCTCTCTATTTCTCTCTCTCTCTCTCTCTCTCTCTCTCTCTCTCTCTCTCTCTCTCTCTCTCTCTCTCTCTCACACACACACACACACACACACACACACACACACACACACTACCGGATCTGGGCACTGAAATTTTCCAAAATCACAAAAGAGTTCCCCTACCGGGTCTGTATACTCTTCGTTTAGAAAAGGGTGGCCATACTGTACCGTGTTGTGTGTAGAACCGGAAGCTATGACTTGACTGCAGCAGATATGTGATGCGCCGAGTGACCTTGGTGCACAGCTTCACCCTTGACGATCAACTAAATAATAAAATTTATATACTAAAATATATATAATAACACACCAAATCAAGTTCTTGGCGAACAACTTTGCTTAATTTGAGACGCTGATTCCGAATATGAAATCAATTTTTACCTACGATAACTATTTTTAAAAAAATTTTAGTTCTGCACAGCGGCAAACTTCAAAGTGAATCTACGTCACAGCGCGTCTCCCTCAAGTGTGACCATGATCGCACAGAAAATGTCAAGCAGTGCTTGATTTCTCGACCGAGTCTCCTAACCATCTTTCAATCGTGGAAATTTTGTACAATTTTGTGGTCACACCTAACGTTTTATCGTATGATCACTATATCGTCCAGTTTTTGTACAATTTATCGTTACGTGTAACCATGCCTTCAGTGGTAAGGGTTAGGGCTAGATCCAGGGTCTGTGTCCCTAAGCCTATTCTTTACCTTATTATTGAATCTAGCAATTTATAATAAAACTTGCATGCTGATCTGGAAGATTGCCATTCGTTCTGGAACTCCTTAAATTCAAACAGTAACTGGGAGTGAGAGGGAAACATGCTTGCCCCTGCCATCCCGCAAACAATGAATTTGAATAAATGATTGATTCAGATTCAAAGGCCACGGGCAGAATGTGACAATGACCAAGTGGATGAGAATGCAAAATAAAAATAGCACATCTTTTCCTCTTTTGAATTTACGCAGGCCTATTCCTAATCATCCTTTGACTCTTTATTTTAACTTTTTATCCATTGAAATCTGTAAAATCAAAATATTTGTTTCTTATCAAGAATTTATTAGTAAATAAGTTTATTTGCGAAGTAATATTTCACAATTTTTATTTCTTGGGAAGGTCTCCTGTTGTACCCAATATAGGAATGAGCCGAGAAGAATTCTGAAAGGATTACAGATTGGTGGAGGGGTTTGAACATCCGTGAAATTTGCTGTGGGTTGTTTTCTGCATTTACCGGAACATGTGCACACTTCTGTTCTTTTATTAATCAAATATCTTTTACACTTATCTGAAATATCAGTGAGTATTTTTGTGTTGAAATCTGCAGCCTGCCACCATGGCGTTCCCGTACACGGTGATCGGGCCAGGTGGACAGCCGTACATCCTGAGTCAGATTCCCATCATGCAGCAGGCCATGGCGCCGCCCGTCATCCCCGCTCACCTCATGCAGCAGCAGCAGCAGCAGCAGCACCAAGGTCAGCAGCAGGGACAGAAACCGCAGCAAAAGTTGCCCGACTACATGTCAGAGGAAAAACTGCAGGACAAAGGTATACAGTTATATTATATATTTCTTATTCTGTAAGATTTTCATTCTCAAAAGAATTCCTTTTCCCCTTTTTCGTCTCCCAAATCTGATGTGTGGGTTTCTTCTCTTGTTGGTGCCTTCTGCTTTTTCCTGGTGGTCAAGATCAAGACGTGAACTTTTGGTTGTTTTTGATCAATTGATTTGGACAAAGACTTGAGCAAAGGAAGCAAGCTTCTAGCATTTGGTGACTAGTTTTTGTGTTTTCTATGGACAGTATAGGTGACAGTTTAGGTCTAGGCATATTTCCAGGAAAGGGAAAATGTTTTTGGTGTCCATTTAGTTGAAGGTCTACAGCAATGCTTCAGGTGTAATTGAAGGTCTACAGCAATGCTTCAGGTGTAATTGAAGGTCGACAGCAATGCTTCAGGTGTAATTGAAGGTCGACAAGTTTATGCAGGTTTGAGACTGTCATTGGCCATATTTTTAAAAAAATGTGTTTTGGTGTTTGCAATTTGTCGTGGAAATGGGGGGGGGGGGGGGAGACTGGTCACCCGGTTTCTTCAAAATAGCCCTTGTCTAGTCACTGGCTGTCGCCAATTACTTTTCAATCACAATATTTACCACCACAAAATTCTGTGGCCTAAACAACATGGTAACATGAGGCAATCCGCCCTCCCATACACGGCAGTTGTGTCGGCAATGTTTGGGTTGTACTGAACACTTGGTGCTTTTCAATAATTTCCTGATTTGTTGTCTTTGTGTTGACTCTATCAATAATTGACTGATTGTTGTCTTTGTGTTGACTCTATCAATAATTGACTGATTGTTGTCTTTGTGTTGACTCTATCAATAATTGACTGATTGTTGTCTTTGTGTTGACTCTACAGCCCGCAAGTGGCAGCAACTACAGTCCAAGCGCTATGCAGAAAAGAGGAAGTTTGGCTTTGTGGACGCTCAGAAAGAAGACATGCCGCCAGAGCACGTGAGGAAGATCGTGCGAGATCACGGAGACATGACCAACAGGAAGTTCCGACATGACAAAAGAGTGTACTTGGGGTATGCTAATTAAATTGATTTCCTTTTTTTTTTTTTATTGTGAAATGTGATTTTTTATTCCACGATGCAAACTGTATATTTTTTTAGTATTATACTTTTAGTTGTCAGGTGCCTTGAAGAGGTTTTTTGGTTTGTTTGCGTTTCAAAGTCATGATTGAAAGAGAAATTTGGTAAGCACACAGTGACACTTCTTTTCTACTTTCAAGTTTATAAATCATAGACTAGATCCTGCTTGTTTTTTCTCCTGGCATTCAGTGGTGAGGAAGTGTAGTTTTCCCAACACAATGTTTATTATGCCTCCTTGTTGACAATGTTCTAGCTCCTTGTTGACAATGTTCTAGCTCCTTGTTGACAATGTTCTAGCTCCTTGTTGACAATGTTTGTTCTAGCTCCTTGTTGACAATGTTTGTTCTAGCTCCCTGTTGACAATGTTTGCTATGGTTCCTTGTTGACAATGTTTGTTCTAGCTCCTTGTTGACAATGTTCTAGCTCCTTGTTGACAATGTTTGTTCTAGCTCCTTGTTGACAATGTTTGTTCTAGCTCCTTGTTGACAATGTTTGTTCTAGCTCCTTGTTGTTTGTGTGTTTGTGTCAGGGCGCTGAAGTACATGCCGCACGCCGTGCTCAAACTGCTGGAGAACATGCCCATGCCCTGGGAACAGATCCGAGACGTGAAGGCGCTCTACCACATCACGGGGGCCATCACCTTTGTCAACGAGATCCCCTGGGTCATAGAGCCCGTCTACATCTCGCAGTGGGGGTGAGTTGTCTCACTGTGAGAGATGGTACTTATTGTGTTGCAAGTGCCGTAAAACACTTACCAAAACTAAAGAGCTTGTACTGGTAACACGTCCCTTTTAAATTTAGAAAGATCTTGTGGCTGCGTTAGTGTTTTAGCGCCCATAAAATGGCAGCTTGCAATGTATGCTGGGATTGTTTCAGAATGCCATCAGGTCTGCGGGGGTAACAATATAGATTGTAAAGTGCATAGAAATTGCTGTTGAGAGGACATGTGCGCTATACAAATGCTATCTGTTATTGTTGGGGGGGGGAATGTTGTGCAATTGTTCTGCGGGGAAATCTTGTGGGATTTTTTTCTGACCTGATATAAATGTGTGACTGCAGGTCAATGTGGATCTTGTTGCGGCGAGAAAAGCGAGATCGGCGTCACTTCAAGCGCATGAGGTTCCCGCCGTTCGACGATGAGGAGCCCCCGCTGGACTACGCGGGGAACATCATGGACAACGAGCCGCTGGAGGCCATACAGATGGACATGGACCCCGACGAGGACAAGGCCGTCATGGAGTGGTACTACGACCACAAGCCACTCACAGACTCACGGTACGACTCCCCTACATCAGACACTGATGACAAAAGATGAAATACATAGCGGCTTACTTGTCTTCATGTCTATCAATACATTGACCCATCAGTCAACACTGTATCTGTGGATGTCTTTCTAGTTGGGCTATTTGGTAGTCGACTGTACCTGCAATGTAGACTGACTCCGCTTGACTCTAAGGCTTCCATGGACAGACATCATTCTGCCAAGAGTGTTGATCGTACTTTGGAATTGTTGGATGACTAGATATAGGTTTGTCCACATCATGTTTACAAGGGGTTGGTTTTTTGGGGCTTATTTTGTTTGTCATCTCTGGTGACCTAGTACCAAGTCTTTGGGGTTTTTTTTTTCAATTTTGTCGTTCCCTCTTCTTGTATGTGAAACAACATGTGAGTGGGTGGTTGGCAGGTGCTTCGGTTTGGTTTGCTCCTTCTTTCCTATCAAACATCTATCGTGCTTATCTTTCCTTCTTCTTTTTTGTGTTTGTTACTCTCTTGTAACACCTGTAATCTTCATCACCTATATCACCTGGTTGTGTTGCAAGTGCTGTAAAACAATTACTAAAACAACCTGTGTGCTTCCATGCTGCGTGCAGACACGTGAACGGCACGACGTACCGCCGCTGGAACCTGACGCTGCCCATCATGTCGGTGCTGTACCGGATGGCCAATCAGCTGCTGACGGACCTGGTGGATCACAACTACTTCTACCTGTTCGACCTCAAGTCCTTCTTCACCGCCAAGGCTCTCAACCTGGCCATCCCCGGGGGACCCAAGTTTGAGCCGCTGGTCAAGGACAAAGAATTACAGTGAGTGCATTGTTGGGGCTACCTCTCAACTGTGGGTTTTCTTATTCCTCTTGATAGGGCGCTCTGTTATCTCAGTTGGTATACCCCCCGGGGCAGTGCCACAGACTGTAGTGTCTTTAGGCCATTCCCAAAGGGGGACATTTCTTGTTCAAGCATAGTAGACTTGTAAATGGGCTGATTCATCAATGTCACACTCATAACTGTGCCTGATCTACAACAGGGAACTGCTGCTTTTTCTTTCCTGATCCTTACTATTGTCATTCTCCTCTACTTCTTTTGTATGTTTGTCACTCTCTTGTGACCCGCTATTTCCGGGGTGCCTTGATAGTCGAAGCAGACCTTGTGCTGTTGAAGCTAGAGAGGTGAGCAGAGGAAGTCTGATTCCCTGTAAAGACTCCTCTGTTGACACCCACCCCTTGGTGCTCATATGACCTTATGCTGTTGCGAGCGTCGTAAAACCCTCTACTGTAAAAAAAAAAGAGATTGTTCATGTGTGTGTGGGAAGTACAGCCTCCTAGAGGCAGAGATTGTTCATGTGTGTGTGGGAAGTACAGCCTCCTACTCCTAGAGGCAGAGATTGTTCATGTGTGTGTGGGAAGTACAGCCTCCTAGAGGCAGAGATTGTTCATGTGTGTGTGGGAAGTACAGCCTCCTACTCCTAGAGGCAGAGATTGTTCATGTGTGTGTGGGAAGTACAGCCTCCTACTCCTAGAGGCAGAGATTGTTCATGTGTGTGTGGGAAGTACAGCCTCATACTCCTAGAGGCAGAGATTGTTCATGTGTGTGTGGGAAGTACAGCCTCCTAGAGGCAGAGATTGTTCATGTGTGTGTGGGAAGTACAGCCTCCTAGAGGCAGAGATTGTTCATGTGTGTGTGGGAAGTACAGCCTCCTACTCCTAGAGGCAGAGATTGTTCATGTGTGTGTGGGAAGTACAGCCTCCTAGAGGCAGAGATTGTTCATGTGTGTGTGGGAAGTACAGCCTCCTACTCCTAGAGGCAGAGATTGTTTATGTGTGTGTGGGAAGTACAGCCTCCTAGAGGCAGAGATTGTTCATGTGTGTGTGGGAAGTACAGCCTCCTAGAGGCAGAGATTGTTCATGTGTGTGTGGGAAGTACAGCCTCCTACTCCTTGAGGCAGAGATTGTTTATGGGTATGTGGGGGACATTCTGTGGTCTGTTCCTCCTCCTTCGATTTAGCTTGACTATTGTAATAAAAGAAAAAAAACACTACTCATATTAATTTTGGTGTAATCTTGAAGTCTTACAAAGTGTTGTTTTAGGAAAGGGCTGTGTCATGTGCTGATCTAACGGTCTTGTGTCGTGTGCTGATCTAGCGGTCTTCTCCTTTGTTTGTGTAGTGTGTTGATCTAACAGTCTTGTGTCGTGTGCTGATCTAACGGTCTTCTCCTTTGTTTGTGTAGTGTGTTGATCTAACGGTCTTCTCCTTTGTTTGTGTCGTGTGCTCATCTAACGGTCTTCTCCTTTGTTTGTGTCATGTGTTGATCTAACGGTCTTGTGTTGTGCTGATCTAACGGTCTTGTGTCGTGTGCTGATCTAACGGTCTTGTGTCGTGTGTTGATCTAACGGTCCTGTGCCGTGTGCTGATCTAACGGTCTTGTGTTATGTCGTGTGTTGATCTAACGGTCCTGTGCCGTGTGCTGATCTAACGGTCTTGTGTTGTGTTGTGTAGTGTGTTGATCTAACGGTCTTGTGCCGTGTGTTGATCTAACGGTCTTGTGTTGTGTGTTGATCTAACCGTCTTGTGCCGTGTGCTGATCTAACCGTCGTGTGTTGATCTAACCGTCTTCTCCTTTGTCCGGCGGTCAGGGACGAGGACTGGAATGAGTTCAACGACATCAACAAGATCATCATCCGGCAGCCCGTGAGGACAGAGTACCGCATCGCCTTCCCCTACCTGTACAACAACATACCCTTCCAGGTGCACTTGTCGTGGTGAGTGGTCACAGCTGGTTCAACTGGCACGCTGGTCGTGGTGAGTGGTCACAGCTGGTTCAACTGGCACGCTGGTCGTGGTGAGTGGTCACAGCTGGTTCAACTGGCACGCTGGTCGTCTGTCAGTGACAAACACTGGTTCATGGGGCTGTCATGGTGGTGATTAGATGTGTGCTCTTGCTCAATAACTACCCGTGAAATTAGAATTTGTGGATTCCAGGAGGGGGGAGCTCAGATTTTGTCTATAAGAATAGGTGGAGGATGCCAGGGACATGAATTTTTATTTTTAGTGGAACGTTTAACCGACTTTGTTGATATTGTGTGTAAGTGAAGGATGCCAGGTACGTGCAGTTTTGTTTTTAGTGGAACATTTAGATAACTTTGTTGATATTGTGGGACCAGTGGGTGTGACATGGGAGAAAACTGTCCATGACTCTCACCTCTGGCTCCGGCGTGACCAGCGACATATGACATCCCTTGCTCCGGCGTGACTAGCACTGGTGGCAATCACTAAGTCTTGTGTGGAAGGATGAAGGCCGTGAGGGATAAGCTAAAGGGATAACACTGAGGGATAAGCTAAAGGGATAACACTGTGAGGGATAAGCTAAAGGGATAACACCGTGAGGGATAAGCTAAAGGGATAACACCGTGAGGGATAAGCTAAAGGGATAACACCGTGAGGGATAAGATAAAGGGATAACACCGTGAGGGAGAAGCTAAAGGGATAACACCATGGGGGATAAGCTAAATGGATACCACCTTGGTGGATGCGACAAAGAGCTAGCACATGTCTGTCTGCTGTCCTCCCACAGGTACCACGAGCCCAACGTTGTGTTCATCAAGACGGAGGACCCGGACTTGCCAGCCTTCTACTTTGACCCGCTCATCAACCCCATCTCCCACAGACAGGCCACCAAGGTCAGTGCCGCACCGTCTCTCCAACTGACACCAGCTTTGTAACGTGGTCCTGGCCTCTTTACCTTCTCTTATCTTGTCAGTGGTACACTGTCTCTCCAACTGACACCAGCATTGTAACGTGCTCCTGGCCTTCTCTTATCTTGTCAGTGGTACACTGTCTCTCCAACTGACACCAGCATTGTAACGTGCTCCTGGCCTTCTCTTATCTTGTCAGTGGTACACTGTCTCTCCAACTGACACCA